GGAACAATTCGTGTGCAAGAGTCACTGATTCGAGGTCCGGAGGGTGTTAAGGCTTTGCAAACTCGAGCATCTACCCTCGTAATATTCGTCTACAGCCGTGCACAAGCAGGGAAAGATGTTACTATCATTCCTTGGCCACCAATATGTCAAGCCGAACACCTCGCGACACAAAGCAAGCTCTCTGAGCCTCGGAAGTTCTGCGAAGTTGTGCGGAGTTCTGCACCCTCTGAACCTTGAGCCCTCACCTCAGGCAGAGGTGGTTCCGGAGGTGGTGGCCAAGTATTTCTGGGGCAGCAACGCCTTAGTCTTGGGCAACGGCAACGCCTTCTACACCAAGGCGACCGTGGGGCCTTAACATGTGGGGCTCCTGACGGATCATTTTGGGATTGACACCAAACCCCAAGCCGGACGATAATCACCATGGCGAAGCACTTGCTTGGCTTTTCTCTACCAGTCTCCTCGTCATGCTTTGGAGAGCGCGCTTTCCAGCTGCCATAGCTCGTGGCTTCGAAGTTTCGGTTAGGTCGGCTCTAGACCGAAGCCCCGCAGCTTCAGTTGACACCACGCTCGACCCTGAACCCTGAAGCCCCACAGCTGCAGCCTTGCATGTTGACCGAACCATGAAGTCAGAACGGACGGTCTCGAAAGCCTCAAAGGTCCTCAGATCCCTAAACACCTGCAGGCAGAGACCGGCAGAGCCGGGCAATGTGTGGGGAAGGAGCACCCGTGTTGTGGGGATACTGGAGGGCTCTCCAATCCAATCATCATTCTGAAATCCTAAATCCCCACTTCCAAATCATCCGAAACCAGAAACCCTGTCTAGACCCACCAACTGGACTTCCCAGAAGTGCAGCTTGCATTCAAACATGGCAGAAGACGGAAGCTTTCGAAGCGCCTCCCGGCTTTGCTGACACTGCTACGCCCCCACGCCTTGTGGCACGGCGGTGCCTCGAAACCCGAGAAGGCAGTTTCAATGCGGGTGGCTCGACATCTCCCGCTGTTTGTGGAATTATTGCATGTAGCAAATCCTGTAATCAGGACAAGCTCCTGTGGCGTCGTTGCCAGGCACCCAGCATCCTTCCAAAGCAGGTCTCGCAATCGCACGCACAAGGGGCAATAGTCTCATAGAAAGCCCCCAAGCTACCTATCAACTGCGGGTATCGCCTTCTCTTGCTCGACGAGCCTTCTAAGCTCCGAAACCCTGAAGCCTTTTTCAAACCCAAGAAAGCTCCTCAACCCCAACCCCAAATCCCCACATCCTCGGACATTTTCACATGACATCCTCAGTATTCCTCAGTCCTTTCCGGAGCTCGGAGCCCCAAGGCTCGAGCAGCAAGTGCCAGTATCGACCGAAGGCCTCCTATTGTTTGGGTTGCTTCTGAGTCTTGAGGTCTTTGAGGTCTAGGGCAGTTGCGGGTTTGGGGGTTTAGGGGTTCAGGTTGTGCGATTTGGGGTTGGGAGTTTGAAGGAGTTTGGGCCAGGTTGATGCTGCAGGGTTAGGCTGACATAGCGGAAATGCTGTCACAGATTTCCTCTACCCTCTTGTTGCCGAGCGTTTGTGCCGGTTTTATACTTGCAAGACATATCAGGGGCAGCATAATTTTATGTTTTTGTTGCCCTTAATCCCGAATAATCCTTGTAAAGCCATTGACTATCTACTTGTTTATAGGCCCCCAAACCTACCCCAGTTATAGAGATTCTACAGCGCCCTGCGAAGCAATACTCGGTTCCCAGAAATGCCTGAGAAGGATGCTTCACCCAATCGCACTTTCATGCACCGTCCGGTACGCAATTTTCACAGAACGGGCCCTTGGCCCTAATGCCCTTGAGACTCTGCATGTCACCTAAACTCATTCAACCAGAACCCAACTGCTGCTACGGACTCTTCCAGGGGATTTCCGCACGGGTTCTTGTACGACGCCTGCGGGAACCTCCTGAGTCCGAGGGCTCAGACGGTGATGGCTGCCTACTGCTAGAAAGATCGTTGTCGCAGCAAGCAAGAAATCAACACCCTGAGGTCGCAGGTTGGCATGCACCACGCGGAGGACACGAAGAAGCGCTTTCTGCGCAAGTCAGCACTTGATAATCGAAACTTAAGCCCCCCGCATACCTTCAAAGCTGGCCGCTGAAATGAGGGGGTGAGTTGGGGTTCACGGTCTTAGCTTCGTTTTTTGCCTCGTACAAGCAGTAGCAAGCCCCGCAGCAAACGGCCGTCAGACCCCAGCTACACCCAAACGCAGCATGTAGAGAAGCGGAGGCTCTGCCAGACGCTTCGGTGTCTTTTTCCAAGTCCAGGTTGCGCAAGACGGGGTCAAGATTTCAGCTTTCTGGATGATTTGGCTGTGACGATCACGCATGCACACGGGCCTACAAGCTGTGTAAACGAAGCTCTCCAATTCGAAGCTGCTAAGCACAGAGACCCTACTCCTGAACCTCAAACGAGAAATCCTTTCAACCCTTCATGCCTAACCTTTAGACTTTTAAACCCCAGTCCTGAACGCTAACCCGATTGGCCAACGCCACAAACTTGCTCTCCCTCGACATGCGAGGAGTTGGCACCCTGCGGCAAGCTGTTTGTCCCAGCAGGCGGCGACTGTGTTTTGGTCCATTAGGGCTAAGGATTGAGAGGGTCAAGGGTTGGACTTCAGGTTTCTGGCTCTGTAGGATTATGTAGGCTTGGCCTGGGTCACAGTGTCGCCCCATTTGGGTTTCATGATTCTTTGTGGCTGTGCTTTCGTTCATGCTGCCCAACAGCCCGAACTCCCAAACCGAGACTGGAAACACCGAAGCCCAAACGTCCTAACTCTAAATGCTGCAAAAAGACCAAGGGACTTCGTTACTTATTGAAACGGCTAACTTATGTTGGCCATTTGGGGGTCTGGCAGAATTCATGAAGCACGAGAAGGATGGCGAGATTAGACCCGTAAACCGCAAGCCCTAAAACAGACTGGCAGTCGCAGTTTTGCGGACCTGAGCATTCTTATGACTGACCTGAGGACGGAGGTCTTGTAGCGACCTTCCGCCCTGAACCTGCGAGGTGCCGCCTTCCTTCAAACCGCCCGGGCGCAGCCTGGGCGATGGGCCTCACCGCACGCATCTTGGGAGTTCGCGAACGTCTGCCAGGGCTTCCACTGAGACCCTAAAGTTGCCCCAAAGCAAACCCCGAGCTGCGAGACCTTCTAAAACGTAGTCGGGGTCGTGGCATCATTCCTGTGTTCCGAAGCAGCGAAGCCCTTACCCGAGCTACTGTAATGCCCCAAAGAACACCTAACTTGGAAGTCTCGTGCGAATCAGTCGGTAGAGCTCGGCAATGAGGGCTTCATGGGCGCCCCTTCTACAAGGGAGCCCTCGCCCAAGTACGCTTTGTGGTTCAGGGTGCAGGACAGAGGGCTTTCCTGAAACACTCCCCAGACCCCAATCGAAGAACCCAGGGTTGAGCTTCCTAGGCCCAGGGAGCCCAACGAGGCGGGAGACAGGGCTTTAGGGTTTAAAGGCGCGAGCGTTAGTTGCTTTTGGGCCTGAGGGCTTTTGGCCATTTAGGGATCTAGTGCTTTGCAGCTTTGGGTTTTCGGATTTAGGGATGATGGGGCTTGATGGGTCTGTCCTGGCTGCCTCATCGGCTCGGGGTTTTCAGGTTCAGGCGTTGATTGTTTTGGCTTTGGTGTGTACCAGGGCAGTGGCTTGAGTCATGCATTACTAGTTGATTCCGAGGTAGATCTGCGCCACCAAAGAAGGCGAACATTAAGCTCAACCCCCGAAGCTTGATTCCGTTCGGAAGAAGCCTGCCTTTGAAGAATGCCTTGAACATTCGGGATTCGCATCTCGGTCCTGAGTGAAACTTCTAGAGTCAAGTAGATGCAGCAGCAGCAGCAGCAGCAGCAGCAGCAGCAGCAGCAGCAGCAGCAGCAGCAGCAGCAGCAGCAGCCGCCCACTGTTGATTAACAACAGCAACATGAGCCAACAACAAAAGCTATCACAGGTAGGATTTGGGAAAGAATCTGCACTTGCATGTCTTCTGCCGTTTCTGGGCTCAGCAACAAACGGGGGTGCGAAGGACGCAGCCGCACTTGAGGACACCTGCATCCGAGTGCATCCCTCTTTGCTCCCAAGCCTTGGCATTCCTGAGCCCTCTCACACTTTGACATCCTGATATCAGAAAGCACCTGAAGAATCTTGAGCTGGGCAGGGAGCTTTCCTCGGATGTTTCAGGCTTTCTCAGGGTTTGAGGGTCTTTTTTGGGGGGGTCCTTGGCGTCTTTGTTGCTTGAGAATTTGGGGTTGGTTGAAGGATTCAGCCACTCAGAAAGACCGACCTCAAGTGAGGGGTCACGGAGCTTAAGGGAGACTCACTGTTTAGCCGCGTCATTCGGGGTGTCATCACATGTCTTCCCCGATGATGATCAGGTAGCTCATGTCCAGACCCTCAAAACTAACCCCAACATGCCCTGCAGGAGCCATGGCGGAAGAGGGCAAAGTGGAAGCAGCTAGGATGAGGTTTAAGTTAAGGGCTTGGGGTGTCGGGTTGAGAGTTTAGGGGTTTAGGTGTCTGCCTTGGGGTTTGCGCTGGCCCCATCAGCCCTGAGCAGGTGTTGTAATCTCCAGAATCCAAGCCTTACCCTCTTGGGAGTAGCAGCTGCCATGTGTCGAGATTGCACCCTCAAGCTCGTATGAATTCCCCAGAAGCCCCCAATCTTATGGGGTGCCAAAGGAGAAAGACAACTTCGACGTGGGCCCCCTGCCACTCGACAAGACACTTTGCACTGCAGGGCTTTGCGTGATTCGTGCGGGCAAGAGAATCTGGGTCTGGGACTCGTGCTTAGTTTTCGGGGTTCGTGGGACCCTGGGAGGGCTTGGTGACACAGACATACATGACAGGCTTCCCTGCGACCAAAGTGTCGCTGTTTTGATACATGGAGCCTCAACAGTCGGTCGTGGAACTAGGCAGCCACGGAAATCCAGAGGGTAAAGGCTTAAACTGGAAATGCTCCATACAATGCACAGGTCAGTGTTGCAGAAGTGCGTCAAGGACAACTCCCAGGCTTCTTGTTCCGATGTTCCCAGTGTCTATACACGAAACAGCTGGCCCAACCCAAAGACCGCAAAGCAGAGTTGAAGGTGCTCATCAATTGCCGCAACAACCGGAAGATCTTGGCCCGAGCCACTTGGAATTGAAGGTTTAAAGCCAGAGTTCACCAAACAGTCGCCCGCTTTGGGCCGCGACCATCACCTCTGCAAGCGGTCAGCGCATACGGACACGGAGTTAGCCTGGGAAGTAGGGAGCAAGACTGAGAGAAGCCTCGGCGACTACATGTATAGACTTATTGGGGGGAAATCTTCATAAACGGGCTTCAGCCAGACACCTTCAACCACTACAAGCTTACAGGGCTTTCACGCATCCCAGGTCAAGGCGTTTGATCGGCACTCGAACATGGTGCCCCAGCCGACTCCACAACTTGAGGGTTTCGGGTGCCGTGTCATTAGAAGTGCTTCGCAGAGGGAGTAGGACAACAACGCAGTAGCGGTCAACGCTGCGATGTGCTTGGCCAAAGCCAGGTAAGCCCGCAAGAATGAGCACGATGTTGAGTTTGCACATGACTATTCCTCAAAAACACCCGAAAGCTCCTGATCCCAACGATTGCAAAGTCGAGGCCGTACCTGCCCTGTCTTGACTACTAAGGCTCCGCACTCAACTCGGCTACGGCTGGGGGCTCTTCCTTCCTCTTCCTCACAGCCAGCCCGACGCGAGGTACTCGAGAATGTCCGGGAGATGTGGACTGAGACCCCTCACGGCGGCAAGAAGAAAGCAAAGCCCGTGAACAAGGACCATTGGGAGCATTGGGATCTTGGGAATGTTCTGAAGGTTTTGCCCTTCGTTCCCAACCTGCCCAGAACCCATTGCGAACCCGGCAAGCCTGCTTTCGACGCAGGATCGCTTCATCAGCAAGATGTTCCTTCGCGGCGACTCAGTGATCCTGGTGCCCTGCACGCAGAAAGCGCCTGAAGTCCCTCAAGTCCCTCAAGTCCCTCAAGTCCCTACCCTAAAGACCTTGAACCCCTTCGAATCCCCAGATGAGAAAAACCTCCGTGGAGACAATTGAGAACCTGTGCAACTCAAAGCCCTCCTGGACATTTAGCACAAGGGAATCTAACCTAGACCCTCAAACCAAAGGCCCTGACAAACCCGAAGCACTCTCATGAGCCTGCATGGCCGACAGCATGAGGTACTCCGCAATCCCAAGTTGGCAGCTCAGAGGGTTGTTTTGTTGGCTGCTGTTTGACCGTGGGAGTCTTGGGGTTCAGGCTTTTGTCGGTTTCGGGGCATTTCAGGGCAATCGGCGGGGGCTTTTGCAAGGGGTTTGGGGTTCGTGGCTTAGGGGGCAGAGGGTCGAGATGCAGAGCTCATGTGCGGCTCAGAGTCCTAAAGGGCTGCCCGCTGATGTCTCTCTCCCCAACCACGATATCCCGGGTTCTCACTCTTCCTTGTGTATGAGCGGGCACTTTCAAAAGAGACATTGAGGTAGAAAGAAGCCGGGACGTTGCACCGGGACTTGGCAGGCGGATGTGGGAGGGTGGTGGAGGGACCGAGAGCTCCAGGGATTAGATCTGGGGCTTCTGGGGCTTGGGATGACGGGAGTTCAGTGGACTAGGCCTGTTGGTATGCAGCAGCAAGCAGCAGCAGCAGCGGACGCGGGATGCCGTCATTAATGAGTTGTAATACGTAACAAATCAATGAATGACGTTAAAGTTAGTCTGCGGCACAAGCCACCCAGACACTACCCTCACCCAGACGCCTCCATTGAGAAGCACTATAATCTTGTTTATCCTGGACTCCGGCCCGAAGTCCAGCAATTCAAACAACGGAAGATCAAACACACGTCTTTTCTCAACAAAAGCCCGAGCCTGCGGGCTACTTTTCAAACCCCCACAAGCCGATTAACTTGCGGCAAGTCTCCACTCTGCAAGGCACTCGGATGCCTTATGAGCCCTGCATGGCATTTTGCTGAGCCAGGTGCGCAAGTCTGCAGGCTTAGGGTGTGCATCGGTGTGCAGGTTGCTTCTTTTGCTTGTTGCAAGCAAGCACCGGTCTTCCACGGGAGGGCCTCTGCATGGTTTGCGAAGATACTAGACATGAAGCCAAGCATGATACTTGTACAGGCCATTCCGACGTCTTGCATCCCGAAGTAAGCCTTTGAAGGCCTTAAACCTTGCGAGCCCTGGAGTGTTGTGGTGCCCTGTGGCAGGCAAGCACGTCCACTGCAGTCTGAGCGCTGGAGCGACAGCTGCATGCCCTGAGCAGCGAGCTTCCATTCGGGTCTCCGTTGAGATATCAGAGTCAACCCGGCAGCCTCAGAAGCCATACGTATCTTTCTGCGCAGGGCAGGCATCCAGCAAAGAACGGGCAAGTTGGATGGTGGCGCTGCATCTGAAAAAGCTGCCTGCTTTGGGAGGCTTGGGACTTCCACCGGACTGGCTTCACATGCACATGATTGATCAAATTGAGGAGGATTGACTACTTTGACCTACTTTCACTTCTTTGATCATTCTGAGGTATTGGGTCCCTAAGGTGGTGGGCAGATATTCTGCTTAGGCTTCCGCGTCTCAAGGTTGACTTATACAAGGCAGTTAGGCAGCCTCAGAACCAGGCTAGCCTGGCGAGCCCGGACGTCTCAGAGGAAGCAAACTCATCGGGCGCGAAGCAAGGACGGGGCAGGGTTTAGTGTTTTTTTTTCTCAGGCGAGATCTAGGGGCCAAGCTTCGCAGCCCTGAGCTCTCTGCGCGCTGTGGAATTTAAGATTTAGAACCTCCGCACAGCATGCCAGCTGCGTGATTGCTAAGGAGGCTTCAACGGCAGAGATGCCGGCTCTGTGAACATAACGTCCATCTCTTGGAACAACCAAAGTTCGCACTCCCACACAGGCACGCCCGCGCGCACAAAATCACCCCTACACCTGTACCTGCACCTACACTTTTTTTCCGTAAAGGAGATTCGGCAGACTCGCCCTCGGCTAATGCCACCTGTCGGCATGGTCAACACACAAACATGCTGGGGCATGCTCAGACCTCAGTCTTCGACAAAGAGAACCGCCCAAAGCAAGAATTCTTTTTATTCTGACATTCCCTGTGCACGAGACTTCCCCACAGAAAATCCTGAACCCGGAGCCCAAACAACAGAGAAGCCCAGTGTGCAGGGTTCCTAGGGTTGTCGCAGGCCAAGTTTCCCCCAGCCAAGGCTCAGCTTTCTTCACTGCGTGTGGACGGCCCTCATTTGAGATGGACAGGCCAACGTTCATCCTCCCTACAGAAGTTGGCTCGAAATAGCCTCTGAGTTAACGAATATCCTCCCGCTTTTTAAGGACAATGCATTTCTGCTGGAGTTTCAAGTGCTTTGGGGTGCCCAGGTTGCGTCAGGTTGAGGCCAGAGGCCAGAGGTGCTGTCGCTCCGGTCTGCAGCAGGGTTTTAGGGGTTTTGGGGGTTTGGCTGCAAGTTATTTGTTTGTCATTCTTTTTTTCAGGGGTTATTCGGGTTTTGGAGGTCGCTTCTCTTTCAGGATGATTCAGGATGTCGTGTCCAGGCCCCTGACAAGACTACCGAGCTTTCAGCCAAACTTGTGCAGCAGTCCCCAACTTCTGCTGTGTTCTTGAAGCCCAAACTTGCAAAACTGAACAGTCCTGCGAAAGGTGGACCAAAGTTGCCCACAACAGAGAGCCTTGGGCCCTTGAGCTGTGCAAGGCCAGTTGGGGTAAGGCTTGATTAGGGTTCGTTTTGAGGTGGGAGTTGCATCGAGTAAGTGGGGAAACAACTGACGTATGCGTAGTACGGTTGCCGATGGCGTTCAAGATGTGGTCAATCCTCAAGTGCTCAAACTTTTCAGGATCCACAGCGCGCACGCATTTCGAGCTCGGTGCTGAGACTTTTCTGCTTAGGCTGCAGGGCTTTGTGGCGAGGCTTGACACTGTCATGCACTGTCATGCTTCTCGGGACTTCAGAGGCTTTTTCAGAGTTTGTAGGGTTTTGAGGCTGAGTGGCTGGAGCCACTGCAGCTTGATTTGAGGTGTTTGTGATTACCACAGAAAGGAGAGGGGGAAAGACCGGGGAAGAAACAGTTGCACTTTCTACCGCATTCAGATGACTGAAAAGCATTCACGTTTAGATCACCGAATGCAGTCTGCCTTCTGTGACTTTCCGAGCGAGGGAGAAGTGTGAAGGATTCAGATGAAAGAATGAAAGAGGCTACGGGCCCCAAGCTCCCGATTCTGGCACCCAAAGCAGGCATGTTAAGGGCTCAGAAGGCTTGGAGTCACAAAACTCTTGGACAGCGGGCGCTGGTCAAAGTCAGGCTTGGTCGAATGAGAGCCTTGAGGAGGCGGGTGCGGCTGGCCTTTGCAGGGCAGAGTTTAGAAGTTGGAGTGTCGGGGGCTTGCCGGGCCAACATGATCCAGCGTTTGTAGGAGACTTGGGCTTCAAGCTTCCTTACAGGATGCGAGCATGAGTGCCTTAAGGAATTTGGGGGGGGGGATGGTGGTTACGTCTCGAGACAATTCAGAGCGTCTGGGGTTTAGGTATTAGCGGACTTGAGGTTGTGTCGCTTGTGTTACGGGTTCCCGACAACTCCAAACAGCTTCAAGCCTTATTCGGGGCCTCGAGATACCAGCGGCAAGTCTGCAGCTTAAATACTTCCTCTGGTAGGAAGCGCTATGCTAGCCTAAGTTAAGTCTTAAGCCCTGAAGCCAATGTACTGAGAGAGTCCCAGGAGCAGGAGTCCATTCTCTTCGCTGAGCTGGAAGTGCTACAGCCGCTTGCCCCAAGAAAGGCTGTGCAACACACACGCTTTTTTTTGTGCCGTGGGAGGGAGGGGGAGTCCGGGAGGGGGTGTCGGGGCAATCCCCGTCAATTTCCAAGCCCGGCCCGCAACCTTCCAGCTTTGCAGAGCGAGTGTTTCGGTGTTCGGCGGCCTTCTCCACCCTCCCAACTTCAATTGCAAAAACCTGCTTGCTGACAGGTTGCCTTGGGAGAGCCGAAGTAGGGGGACGTCGGGGTTTGGGTTTTAAGATGTCGGAGGTTGTTGGGGGGCCGTTCGGGGACAATGAGGCTGGAGACTGGCAGCTCTTGCCGGAAAGGCCGGAGTTTCCGTGTTCCTGCGCCTTGGACAGGTGTCCTTAAGCTTTCTAGGCATTGCTGCGCCCCCAACGCTGCTTTTGAACCCTTGATTCCTGTGTTGAGCTTGTTGCATGTGCTGATTCCTTTCAGTGCACTGAGCACGGGGTTCTTTTCTAGTGTTGACTGCCCTATGCAACCAACATCATGGGAGCCATGGATGCTTTTCAATGGTAGCTTGGCCCGCTGACTGCTGACCCAATGCAGATTCTTAAACCTCAACCACAGTTTGTCTGAATACCCCTAGCGTTGGCCGAACAAGACCCTCAATGAAACCTTTGAGTCTTTCGTGGTTTGTAGTTTCCGGCGCTTAGGGCTTGGGGTTTTGCTGGGTTTGCGGAAGAGGTCATCCTAAGTCTTTTAACTTTAACCCCATAGCCTCCTGGAGGCAAGGAAGGCTCCGAACTGTTATCATGCTACCCGACACACAGACACACAGACACACAGACACACAGACACACAGACACACAGACACACAGACACATAGACAGACAGACACACAGACACACAGACACACAGACAGACAGACACACAGACACGCAGACACACAGACACACAGACACACAGACACACAGACAGACAGACACACAGACACACAGACACACAGACAGACAGACACACAGACACGCAGACACACAGACACACAGACACACAGACACACAGACACACAGACACACAGACACACAGACACACAGACACACAGACACACAGACACACAGACACACAGACACACAGACACACAGACACACAGACACACAGACACACAGACACACAGACACACAGACACACAGACACACAGACACACAGACACACAGACACACAGACACACAGACACACATACACACAGACACACAGACACACAGACACACAGACACACAGACACACAGACACACAGACACACAGACCCACAGACCCACAGACCCACAGACCCACAGACACACAGACACACAGACACACAGACACACAGACACACATACACACAGACAGAGACACACAGACACACAGAGACACAGAGACACACAGACACACAGAGACACACACACACACACAGAGACACAAACACTCGCACACATGCACGCACACCTTTTTCACTTGAACATTGGAACTACGGATACCTACGGG